GTAGATGAGTTTGTATCGAGTTGTTTTGTGAAATTGTGATGTCATAATAAGGATGATATCACAATTGTAGGAGGGAGTTGATTGTGGTGGTGAGTTGTTTTGTGAAATTGTGATGTCACAATCAGGATGATGTCACAATTGTGGGTTGTGGTTGAGTTGGTGTTCAGTTGTTTTGTGAAATTGTAGTGTTACAATTGTTATGTCACAATCAGTATGATTGTAGGTTTATTTTGTGATCGGTCGGTGTCAACGGTCGACACCGTTGTGAAACAGAATCTATGGTTGTGAAATTATGATGTCACAATTACTATGATAGTTGGGAAGAGTTCACTTGAATGATCGTCTTAGTTTTATTTTGTGATATAACAATGTGAGAAGAGAGGTCGTCACCATTGCGAAATAGAATCTATGATTGTGATAATATGAGGACAATCTTTACAAACAATAAAATTTAGTAGTAAACAAATGCAGTGATCTTGGTTAGATCCAAATTTACTTATCACACCTTACATTTTACTGATAAAAATATGTTAAACCTTCCAAACCTTTAGACGCTATCACACTGTCTACCTCTATCATACAATGGTATTCAACAGTTACTTTGAGAATTAACTACCATATACATGAATGCACCCAATGACACCTTATGACACCTAACCTTTCCCTGTTGAGAATTTGTCGAACTTTCAAAAACTATAAGTGTTATCTATCACACTGTCTATCTGTACCTATCACAATGATATTTAATAACATTTGACAATCTGACTATCTGACAATATTTGATGTCAATAAATTCATATAGTAGCTCTAAGAAGTCTCGTTTATCTGAAGTGTCCAGAAATTTACTGGCCAAGTGGTAGCACTAATTCTTAATTATTGTTCAATTATTAATTTTTAATGATTGTTTATTTAATTGTTGCAGGTGTCATCTATTAATAGAGTACTGAGAAATTTGGCAGCACAGAAAGAGCAACGGCAACAGCAACAACAACAGCAACAGGGTGTGTCTGCTGTTGGGGTTGGCGTCGGTGCTGGAAGTCCAGCTGAAAGTGTTTACGATAAGCTGAGGCTACTCAATGGGCAGACTACGGGCTGGCCGAGGCCAAATCCATGGTGAGTGCAACATACCATTGCATTTATTGAAATTGATATATAATTTTTATAAAAATTGTGAAAATACATTTCTTTATTTTCTATTTCTTCAGATATTTTTGTTAAATACATTATTTATTCAGATATTTTTATTAAATACATTATTTCTTCAGATATTTTTATTAAATACACTATTTCTTCATTTTTTATTTCTTCAGATATTTTTATTAAATACATAATTTCTTCATTTATTTCCTCAGATGTTTTTATTAAATACATTATTTCTTCTGTAATTATTTACTTACATATAATTATAATTATAATGGTTACAATTTTGAATAATCTTTTCAATCTTTAATGGTTTTTTCAAAATAAACAGTTCAATTCAACTCTATCTATAACACTGTTACCAGCCACTGTTTTCACCATCAACAAACAAATTTCAATCAGGTATCCATCAGGAGCTGGCAGTCCATTTCCATCTCTACAACCCAGCCTAAGTCCAAGCCACTGCACCACCTTGCCACCGGACCCAGCGGACATCTTGCACGCGAAAAAAGGTAGGACAAACTTTTGATAATATTTCAACTTCTAAAAAATAGGAAGGTTTTATTTTTAATTATACAATCAATAATTCAGAACTCTGAATATTGGACCAACTATTGGACAATTACCGTCTGTTTTAATTACCTGAGACGATACAATATTTATAGATCCAATTAAGCCTCATACAAAATATTTATTAGGAAATTACTTAATCGAGTTTTAGTATTGTTCTTTGCACAATTCTTGCAAAAAATATTACAAGAATATTAATAACTTATTGATCATTACCACTTCATATTATTCGTAATATAATAAATTTATTTATTATTAATTTATTTACGATTTACGAACATTCGTCGTTTCAACTCTAGTGACAATGAAACAACACGACAAAAAGTAACTGAATATTCAAATTAAGAAAAATCTCTTTAAATAAACATAATAGAAAGAAATTAATAGCAAATGACTTAATCAAGTTACATCATCGTTTGCACACTTATTTTTTGAGAAAAACGATTTTCTTCTTTATGGTTAAATGATGCTTCATTATATGAATGCGGGGGAAAAGTTGTAAGTGATAAGCCAAGTTATAAGTTATAATCCAAGAGGTTAAGCTCAAAACGAGGCAACCTTCCTATGGTTCCCCACGGAACTACTCATACAGACGACCCTTGAAATAAAACCAAAAAAATAAAAAAACAATGAAAAATCTCATAGGAAGCACAATCAGTCCTAACCAAGACTTAAACAAACCGTAAAAATAAAAAACAATCAAAGACCTAACCATACCCTAACCAGAACCAAAAAACAAAAATACAATGAAA